TGATCCCAAAAATAAATTTAAAGGTCAACTAGAAAACCTGAAGTTTGAGCCATTGAGCTTTCCCTTTTTGTCGTCATTAATCAAAATGTATCCGCAGTTTAACCCCACACCTACGCACACTTACATAATGAATCATCGCGGTGTGGTGGTAAGGGGCTGTGTAAGTGTGGGTTAGCGAGGGGCGTGACCACAGTTCGTGCTGCATTTCCGTAAGTTATTCATGGTCAATAAGCGTGGCTCACATGGCGGAAAAACAACAAACATCAGAAAGTAATTGTTGTTGCAAGGGTTATTGCATTAACCAATGTGTTTATACTGCAATTTCACGCGGTTTTCCTACTAATTTGATCGTTGGGTGGAGGGGAGCAGTGGGGTCACAGGGTCATTCAATAATTTATGCATTCATTTCGGCCTCCCAATATTGCGCATTATCTATTCGATTGTAATTTAGTTGACCAATTTAATTTCATTTAGCAGCAGCGCCACCAAAAAACACTGAAGAAAATTTGTGCTGCTAAAGAATTTAGAATAAAGAATTTCATAAGAGGCATACAAATTGTTAATATATATAACATTTTTTTAGAATGTTGTTTCCCAGAAAATTATTTTAAAATTTATTTTTTATTTGTTTTTGAAGAATAATGTTCAGTTTTTTTTTGTTGTATATGATGCAGCGGGTTAAAAATTGCTGATAATGAAACTCTATCGGAGGTACATGGTTGGCACTTTTATCAAATTTACGCTTATTGCATTTTAATTAATTATAAACAGGTAATTATGGTAAACAGACTGGGCCACCGACGACCCATAAAACAGGGCTTACCGACATTACCAATTTACGAGCCAAGTGCTTGGGAGTACCGCTAAAGTGCCATCCTGGGACGGGTAAATCGTATATAAAATTAATTTAAAACGCACCACCACCCCTTAGCCACCCGTCCCTGCAACGCCATTTGACTGGGTCTCCGCTGGCTTACTGCATTTTTTAGTGTCTGTCTTTCAATGCCTAAATGTTTCCGCCATAAATTTTTGCATAATGCGCACAAGTGTTGGTAATGAGCGCAAAATTGTGTGTTTTGAAAAGGGGTGAAGTAACAGAAGGGGGTGATTTTGAAGGGGCTCTAAAATCCTAACATAGAGTGGGGTAAAAAAGCATAAAACTTCTTAGTAAAATTATTTCTTTTTTTGTTTGTCGTTAGGAATATAAAAATAGTTATTCTTTGACTTAATTTTGTTTTTATTTATTCAATAGAAACTATAACTCGAAAACAATTTAGAAACAAAAATATAATCGTGAAGGAGGCACACTCCCATATTCACCGTTTGTCGTTTTTGGAAACTTGTACCTTTTTAGGTGATCCATTGATTTTAAATCCGACTTCTGGTCGTTCTGATTCATTGCATTCGGTTCCTTCTCGTTGCAAGCGAACTTCAGGCTTAGGCGATTTCTTTTCGCATAAAACCCAAACTTTTTATCTCCATATTTTTTTAGGCACTCCGCGTAAATTGTGGCATATTGAGAATAATGCCCCCTTTGCGCAACGGCAAACCAGGAGCTCTGCTTTTGCCACTTGAGACGAGTTTTCTCGATTTGACCGGCCACATCTCGTTGGTGTTTTAGCTGATCCACGAATATCACCTGGTCATATTCCTTCATGTTTGATAAAAAATCATGCAGTTCCAAAAATAAAAAATTAAATAAAAAATATAGACTTTTCTAGGTACTTTTAAGTGTGATTGTTGCCTTGCTTACAAAAAGAATACATGGACAGGAAGTTTTCTAAGACGCCTGCTAGGTCTGCTCTATTTTATTTCAAGCAAGCCCTAAATTTTCTTTACTTTCAACTCAACTGATACTTGCTTTACCATTTCAACTTTAAAAAGTATATGTCTCAGCATTTACAGGTTGCATTACTATTGAACATTAAATGACAGTGGCTCAAAGCTAATTTCTTTGCATTTCCTTTTATTTTATTTCATTTTTATCAAAGCCGCCAGAAGGCACATGAATCCTGAGCAGAACAGGATGCTGAGCAATGCAAATAAGGATGGACCAGCCGGAAACGGAAATGTGCCTCTCATTCAATAAAAGACATTCCCTTTTGCTTGCTTTTCTGGACTTAATTTATTTCATTTTCATGTTCAGTTTTACAAACCAACTTGTTTTTTAGTTTGTTTTGTCTAACACTTGATTTTATAATACTTACAAATTAATGCTAAACTGAAATGTTAACAAAGTTTAATGATTAAGGTTAATGAAGGAAGGTTTAGTTCATTGACTTAGCTAAAACCAACAAGTAAGTCATATATTCCCAAACTTGTTGGTTTGGTTTCTGGATTAGTTACTTCTTCATTTTTATTTTATTTTTAAATTTACAACACGCACAAGACTTGTTTAGATTTAGGTGTAGGTTATGCTTAGAGAATTGCCGAGGATTTTTTCTGCCTATTTCCTAAGTAATTTGAGTTCAAACGTCACTGGCTATGTACAGGAAACATTCATTTTGGCTAAGTTTGAGGGAATTTCCCCCGCCAGTCGATCAATGCCAAGCTGAGATGTCCAGATAAATTTGACCAAGACCCGCAGCTGTTTTAGGGCCATTTGTTGCCATCGCCTTGCTCTGTTTGGCCCACAATCGAACGGCTTTGTATGCAAATGAGCCATTGGATTGCATTTTCACGCCCAGGTGAAACCGGCAGACATGCGATACATGTAACCCCTTCTTTCGCATGACTCATGAACTGCTGTTGGCCTTTTGTTTGCTCGTTGGTAGCTTTGTTTGGTCTTGAATGCATTCAATTGCGGTTTGTTGCGCGTTTGCCTCTCGCATGTCTCCGACAATTTCCACCTTTTTTGTTTTGCCATAAAGTGGTCTGGGTTCCCCTTCAGACGGTATCAGAGCTCAGGAAAGTCTGACTCAGTTTAAGCCAAATTAGCATAAGCCAAAGGATTAATATCATGCATGCGGCTCATTTCTCAAGGGGAGTGGTACCCCTTTTGAAGAATTACTCAGCTCGAAAATAAGTTAAAGCAGCTTAAACTAATTCAACCTTCAAGGTTACGGAATTAGGGTGGCATTTCGGAATATATTAAACACTACTTTCCAAGCAAATTTATCAAATTTTAAAGGTGGTTGTCCTTGGTTTCACGGTCTAAGCTGCAACTTCAAATTTATAACAATAAATTTATGGGTTGACAAAATATTTAAAAGCAGTAAAAATATTGCATCGGCCGAATTCTTCCGTACTCTGCATTGGAAGTACGAGAAGCCTTACAGTCCTTTAAGTGATCCATTGAAATTTTAGAGATTCTCTTCCTCCGATCTATAGACGATTGAGTGTTCAGTCTGTATTCCTCATTCAGTCGGTTCCTCTTTGCATAGAACTCGAAGTGATTGTTGCCATACTTCCTGAGACACTCGTCATAAATCTCGGCATATCTGCTGTACAAATCCCGCTGGGCAGCCGGAAACCAGGAACAATGTTCTTGCCAAGTACGACGTGTCTCCTCGATTTGACTGCCAACAGTGCGATGGTGCAGCAGCTCATGCGTGAATATGACCTGGTCGTATCCCTTCATTGTTTGTTTAGTGTTAATGATTTTTTTTTAACTTTTTTTGCTTTTGCTGCACGGGTTTTGGATGTGTAGAAAACCTTGAATGGTTTCAGTGATTGGAAAAACGATGGGAAGTTTTCATTGCTGAATTTGAGAAATACTTTCTGTTTTGATTATGATGATATACACTCCTTTAGTTGATTAAAAGGAGTTCTTAAAGGTTTTGTCACATTGCATTAATTATCCAAGGTAAATTATTAAATTAAGAAATCGCCTAAATTTGTGATCTATTGAAAATGTTATAACTTTTAAGGGGATCTTATCATCTCATAGCTTGGCACTGATTGAACGGATTACATTCATTTACATACACACACTAAGATCGAGACTTTTGCCAAATTTTAAAGTTTTCAACTTGTGCAATCCTTGGCTTCTTCTCAAGCTATTTACAGGCTTCTGATCGCATATTCTTAAATTAAGTATTTCTCTTTGAGGAATTTTTGGAATGCAATTGCATGTTTTGACTAATCTGAGCTTAGCTTATTTTTTGCATGGTATTTTGTTAATAATTAGTTCTTTCATCAGCTTAATGCTATAAAGACTTAGACTTTTGCTTTACAAATTTCTTACACTTGCTTAGATTCTTAAGTTAATGAAAAGTTTGTTTTGGGTTTAGCTTTAGACTTGATTTGGTATGTAGATCAAAGTGCAAATATGTATTTTTACAATCGAAATGTTTGGTTGCTTTTGATATGCCAGAAGAGGGTGGATAAATTGGAAAGGAAGGAAAAACTCAGATGGAATGGGTTGACTTCAAAAAGAGCTCTACTTAGTTTTACTTCCTTTCGTTTTCAAAATGAAGAAAATATCACAAAAGATCAACGAATGTTTTGCCTAAATAACGATGTCTTAATGCTACCGACCAATGCCTAATGCTACGAATAAATATTTACATTTTCTTAGCCTCTGCTTAAATGCTCGCTTTGAGTAGTTACCATTTTGATATTTTAGTACAATATCTGGCTCTTAATTAGGGAGTTTCTCTCATTTTCGTACACACATACATCGATTGAATTTTGAATCTAACCAAAGGTCTTTTTATAAATAAATCCTTTGGTTTTTGTCTTAAAGTTTTTGGCATAGGATATGTCTGCTTTTTCGAACGGCTCAGCTAGTTAATGGGCATTAGTTTTGACGATCCTTATTCTCGAAGTAGTTAACTGTCTCTGGGGCAAGTCCAATCTTGAAACAGCAGCAGCAGGAAAACCGGAGGCAGCAACGCAATGAGGCAAGAAGGCAGTTTAGAAGCGGCGGCACCTGGGGAAACAGAATTGATTAGCATGGGCTCCACATATATAAATTAAAGGTTAAATCAGGGGATATACCAATCGTGCTGGACTTGGCTGCCACCGTCTCCCGAGACTCTAAAGCTGGAGCCCTCTGCTGCCGATCGCTCTCCACACTTTCCTCGTTGCTCTGCAGATATAGTGAGCTGATCTTGGCCACGCACTACAGATATAAATAGTACAATTAAATTAAAGTTAAATTTGAAAAAATATTTCTTTTTTTGCGACTCACCTTCAGCTTCATGTCGCCGTGCTTGAAGTGATAGGCCCTCACCCGGAACTCCAATCCCAGACGGGCCATTTCCAGGCCATCTCGATTCACCACCACCTTGTCGAATTGCCGCAGGTGAGTCTTCTGCACCGGTTCTCCGTTAATTAGCCAGCTCAGGTGACAGACGGGCTTGGACGGCGACGAGGTGCAATTAACCCGGACGGTGTCTCCAATTTGATATCGCGGCTGGCCGCCGGTTATCTTCGGTCCGTGGTTGGGAGTCACTGAAAGAAAAATAATTAAATAAATAATTAGGTGTGAATTAAACAATGAATAACACTTTGTTTGTTTACAGAATATATCTTTATTATTATGTCATGTACCACGATGTACCTCAACAGTTTCTTATTTAATACCAGCACACACTTTTTCTTTAATTTTTTTTTCCACACTTTATATTGCCAACATTTATGACTGACAGCCATGTTTTGTTGCACTTCAATTAAATTTCACTGAATTTCTCTCATTCCCCATCCAACATAAAACTCCCACAGTCTTACCTTGATCCCCTGGCAATTTTCTCATTTGTAGTCTCGCCTGAGCTTAGTTATTTAATTTTAATGAGCTGGGGAAATTGAATATTTCCTAGACAAGAACTAGCTGGCCATTTTGTGCCACGTTCTCTACTTTTCCATCCACATTTTCCCATCCTCCCGGCTATTTTATTGTTTTATATGCAGCATCGCTTATTTGCCCCACTGCCCCATAAGTAAAATGAGGAAAGTGCAGAGGGAAAGGCATTTCCCTCACGGAGGCTGGCCAAACATCCCAAAGATTTATGTGGAGATTTTCGCCAGTCGGTGGGTGTATGAGAAAATGAGAAAGAAGGTGGGAAGGTATCCAGAATTCAAGGCATTGAGAGAAAGAACTTTCGTTTTGGGCATACGAAATGCTTATTCAAAGTTTATTTGGCCATGTGGATGTGAGTCTGTCCGGCAGTGTTCTTCTGTGTGAGTGTTTTTGTTTTAGCACATGTAAGTATATGTGGGTGGGTTTTTCGGGGAAAGTCACTGGGGGAGGGCATCTGGCTATCACCCATTACCAACGCCTTTTGGGCATATCTTCTAGGCATAACAAAAATAATATTAAAGTGCAAAACATTATTGCACTAGCTCGTATTTGTATTTCTAGCTCTTCAAACCTAATCCAGTTTATAAATAAATACGGTATCTATTTCTAAAGTTTTAACTCCCTGAACTACCATATAGACCACCTCCATTGTCTTCCATACTTCACTTCTTCCCCTTTTTATTCTATTCCACACAACATGTTCTAAAATAAAAACCAAGTCAAGTGGGAACAGGACCAGAATCAGGACTCCTCCTCAGGCGCAGACCATGTCCCCTATATCCTCCACCCCTTTCCTAATCTAAGTCGAGTGTTTTCTGTATGCATTAAAAATATTCGCTCATGCCAAAACCGAGAAAAATCGAGAAGGAAAATCTTTTTCCTCATAACTTTGTGGCTGCTGTGTATGTGAGTGAGCCATAAAATAAAATTAATTTTTAATGGTTTTCAAAAATTAATTTTCTTTAAAACTCGCCCGGCGTTTTCGTTCGTTTTGACTTTGGTTTTGTTGTGGGTCTGGTCAGTTTCTATCTGTACTCAAAAAACTAAAGTTGTTGCACTCAGAAAACCGTTTTATTTCAAACTTTACGTAGGTATAAATATCAACACAAGCAAAGTTCATCTCTTAAAAAATTTGAAGAGGGAACTGCTTCATTAACTAGAAACGGTCAAGAAAACGTTGTAATAAAGTTTTTTGCAAAGTGTATGCGCTTTTTACAGGTTGCCCTATCCCGAATTGCATTTGCTCTCCCGGTTGCTTATTTGTAATTTATAAAGTGAAGTTTACTTTGCTTTGGCTCTCCTCTCCCTTGTAAACTTAATTTGCTCCATGTAACTGACTTTCTGGGTGGGAGGAGGTTGAAGTTGGTTAGGGGAAAAGGTCGGCAGAATCCAACTATGTCTGCAATCTCAAAATTCAAAGTGAAGAAATGCATTTTTGATAAACGCATTTGTGGAGATTGAAAATATTATTCCATGCTTTCACTTTGTTGTCATTTTTAATTTTATTTCGTCTTCCAAAGCTGATAAAGTTGGCAAGCTAAATCATTTTTTTTATATATAGTTTTTTTTATAAAAATTTTTCTGAATTCGTTTTTCCTCCACTTAAGTAAAGTACAAACTTTAATTAATTGATGGGCCAATAAATTTCGGTTTATCGTACCATTTATTACCCCAAAATCTCAACCTAAACCTTTGTTCACCTGTTTGAATTCGGGTAGTGTTCGGATAATTGTTTATATATATTATGTGAGCGTTTTTTAAGTCAACGCCATATTGTCGCACTAAAATTTTATTTTGCGGCATAAATCTAGGGAGACAAACACAGAAAATAGGAGGGGATCGTGGAGGAAAAAGGACACGTATGTCTGTATGAGTTGGCAATTTATTTTGGCCAGACTTAGCACGCAACGATAAAGGACACACAAAAGGAGGAGGGAACGGAGGGGGCAAATCGAGCCAGATGATGAGAAAATGGGGAGATGGGGAGGCAGACCCGCAGGTTACAGGACCTGCAATAAGCCGAAAACTAAAAGCTAGAGGGGAAATGGCCGAATGCCGAATAGCCACATGCTTCAAGTATATTTTCGGCATTTTCCTATGACTAAGCAGTTTCTGTTGTTAAGGGTGGTGGAAAAAAATAAAAGGGAGGACACCTTTTGTGCAGTAGCCAGAAAAAACAAGTGAAAAAATGTCTGAAGTACTTTCCAGCAGAAACAACCAAAACCGAAAATAGTAACAGCACAAATACCCACAAACAAGAACAGGTAAGAACATCAAATAAAGAATAGCAGCCTTATAATATCCTGAAAGGTATAAATAAATCAAATTTTTTTATAAGAACAAAATAGTACAAATATATTCTTATATAAACTTTTAGTAAAATTTCTTATTTTAAAGAATGATATCATAGCTATTTTTTCAATAAACATTAAAAAATTACCACTGAATCGTATTTATTTAGGATAGCTATTATATTTATGTTTATATAAATTATGAAAATAAAATTCCCTTTCCAAGGGTATGTACACATATTCAGAGCAACGAGTACATCCACAGTGAGCACTGTAAGTGGGCGTCTATCTAGGTATTTTCAAGTTTTTCTGCTCAGTTGGTGGTCTTCTTTTAACACTCTGCGGTATATTTTTTGTTACCATCCATCCGTCCACATGAAAACGCCTCTGCCTTTGGGCTCGAAGCGCACTTTGCAGCTTCTACTTAGCAGGTGATAAGCCAGGTCAGGTGGTTGGGATTTCGGCAATGAGGGTGGTAAGGGGATGGTGGATGGGAGCACCCCTCTAGGCAGTCACCTGCTCTACTTGCAGAGGAACTACGGCTGTTCTGGGTGTGTGTGGGATTTTGGATTATGCACATGTTGAGCCCTTCGCCTAAGTGCTTTTTTCTGCCTTCCATGCTAGCTTCTTTTTTAGCTATCTCTATTTTTCACTTCTCCGTCCTCATCTGTTTTTCAAAAATTTTAATAAAATTATTCCGACATGATTTACACTCAGTTATATGAAATTTATTCAACTCAATTGTCTTGACAATGGTCTGGATTGGAAAAATATGTAAAATATACGCACAAAATTATGTAAAATAGCCATTTAAACGCAAAAAATTTAATTTTGGCGTCCCTTTTAGCAAAAAAAAAACTTTGTTGGACTTTAAAGCCTCAAGTTCCTTTTTAAGGGGTTATATACCTTTTTGAGCGAAAAAAATTAGGGAACTTTGGAATTTTTTTCAGGTGTGTAGCAATTATTTTATGATACTGAGGTTATTATTTATTGATAGTACATGTTTTTATATACACAACAAACGTTTGTTCTTAAAAAAATATAAATAACTTTCGAAGTTATGGCAATTCTCTCATAACCCTTTTTTTGTTATAGCGGCTTGCGGTGACCACGATGGAAGTCCAGCGGGTCAACTAAAATCAATAAACCAAAAAATTTTTATTAGTTTAGTATTATTTCTAGTTCGTCATTGAATTACTTCAAGAATATTTGGTTTTTTCTGCATACAGTAACAATTTTTTCAAAAAATTGAATTTTCGAGCTCTAAAAATTTTATTAAAAATTTCTTATCTGCAAAATCGAAATTGCCGCATAAAAACTGATTCAATGACGAACTCGATACAATCATTACGAATATTTAAAAAAAAATTGAAGAAGATCGATCAAATAGTTCTTGTGCAATCGCGGTCACAGCAAAGGCACTTTTGGAAAAAAACGACTTTGAGATAATCGCATTCAAAGTTTTACGTTGCGTTACAAAGAGTGACGAACCGCGCCTCAAAACGCTGTTTTCCTATCGAACTATTATTCGGATATTTTCAAAAATTTGGGAAAATGTTCTCTAGGGGATATACTTTAGGATTCAGCTAAAAAATTTTTTTCGTTTTTTTGAAAAAAAAAAGGTATATAACCCCTTAAAGTGTCGCATAAATCATTTCAACAGAGGGAAAGGGTATATGTGTAAAGATCGGATACTAACGAATACGAAAAAAGCTTTAATTTTTTAAATGAAGAAGTGTCAACTTGCTATAGTTTACTTAGCAACGAATCACTCAGAAACAACTGCAGTCGCCACTCGACTTCTTCGTTCCACTCGCCCTTCCGTTTCCCTTCCCACTTGCCCTTCCGTTCCGCATCTCTTGTCCCACCATCTTTACGCTCCGTTTCATTCCGCCCATTCTCATTCCCTTCGAGTCCCGTTACTCTCGTGACATTCCTCGTTTGTTATCTTTAATTTTGCATATGGCAACGATTTTTAATGCACGATACGAGTCCTTTCTCCCTTTTGCCGTCGGATACTTCGGTTCAGTTGCGGCATGTTTGAGTTAAGACAACATTACAGTTACCGTTATTTCCGCGGCTCTTCCGTATCCTCATCTGCATCTGCTGGTCTCCACTGCCACAATTTGCGAGTGTGTTTTACAAAATGTTTTTCCCAATATGATAAAACAATTAATCGAAAAGATTTATTCATATTCAAAAATATTAATTTATAAACACTTCTATGCTTCACATTAACCTTGTTAAGTTATTAAAATCGAAACTTTTTTTTCAGTGTATCTGGTGCGTTTCCCGCGTTGTTTTATAACTAATGAGCACGCAAGGCTCTCAACGCTTGGCACATGTCCTGTTCTCTTTTTCCGATTTTCTGGGTGTCTCTCCGGGTCCTCATCCTGTTCTGGAATTTATGGTTAAGTGCACTTTAAAGGACAAACACATATATAACTCACTTTTCCCGCTGAGTTTCCTCGTTCCGCGTCCTATCTCTTTTCTCCCCCACCCTTTTCTTGGACACACAGGCATATAATGTGATCGCTTATCGATTTTACAGTATAAAAAAGCAATTGCCTGCATAAAGGGCGAGGAACAGGACCCCTCGTAAGTAACCTCCCACTGGCAAGCAAAGTTAAATGTGATTTTTATGAGCTATGAGCGAAGTTTTGGGGCGGAGAAGGCTGAAGGCGGCATCCTGCCTTAATATTTATTGTTGCTCCTTGGCCTGGTCACACTAATGAGCTGTAAATTATCCAAAGGAGGCCAAAGGCAAGCCGCTCATTAAAGTTTTGAGCACACAATTGGGGCAACTCCCGGGGCACAGTTTCAAAAAGGCATTGCCGGGAGCTCATTTTAATTTCACAGTAATTTTTAAGTGCTTAAAGTGGCAATTATACATCTAGTGAGTCAAGCAAGTTCTTATAATAAGTTTGCTTTTAACTATTTAATACGATTTTTTATCATCGCTTTTTATATTAAAGAGGAAACCCTTTCCAATGTTAGCACTGACTTTTACGATCGCCAAATTAACATTGGCAAATCCCTTCGGGAACAATCGGCATTCACTAGAGCATATTTTATGGTTTACTTGCATTAGCAGAAAGAACGCTCCTATCCCCAAGCTCATAGGAGCCCCTGTACCCTTATTCTCTGTAGCTGACACAGTTGTTGATGAGGCTTTATCCTTCTCAGCTCGACTCCCAGCTCTAAACTCCCTACCACCAACATACTTTTCTTCTTTTTTCTTTATTTGGTTTCAATTCGGAAAAAGTTACAGACCGAAAAATCTTATTCAATTATACAAATTCTCAAATAAAATATAATACATCCAAATATTAAGACCTTTAATATTGGGACCACACAGATAATGTTTAAAATCAATAATTTGTTTGTTTTTAACGAAGAAGTAATTTTTTATTTATTTCTATTCCTTTTTTTTCTTAGATTTCTTTTTTCTTTTTTTGCTGTGACTTCAGTTCGAATATCGTTCAATTTGGCTGCCCAGACACATTGTTTAATATGCAAAACCATTTCCCGTTTCCCTGACATTCCAATGCGTCTTCGAGGGGGAGGGATTGGGAAGAGAGCTAAGGGAATGGCCAAAAGGAAAATCAGCATGAAATGTTCTTAGTGAGTGGGCGAGAGGCGTGGTCGCCTTTCTTGGAGATGTCCCGCTCCTTGTTGCCATAAGTTAATGCAGGTTCCCGCCCCGAGGGCTGCGGGTTCCATTGATGATGTCGGTGGTTTGATTTGGCTCAGTGGGGCTTCTTTGTCCCCAGGGAGAGTCCCCCGGACTTGCGCTGCCCCTGCACATATTGATAACCGTTTGATTCTTTTATGAGTTTATAAATTTGTGATTAACTTCAGGCAAAGCCGGAAAACTTGATTGTGCTGCGTGAAAAACTTTCATGAGGAACAAGCAATTCATGAAAAAAGGAAACCTTTAAAAAATGGCGTGTTTAGATGCAGGGAATATCTGTTCTATAATTTTTTAAATCTTCAATATCAAACTTGATTTTAAACTTTTACCCAAAGTGTATTCGTTATCTCCCACATATGTAAATGGTGAGAGGATAAACGATCTTTTTTGCCAGCCAGCTTGCGCCAGATGGCGCCTTTGTCTTAGCCCAGTTTTTTCCCACTTGAAAGTCGGACATGAAAACATAATTTTACTTCAAAATTGCAATGACAGTGGCAGCCGGGAACCGCCCACCTCAGCCCACGACCACGCCCCTTCACTGTACACACATGTGCGCCTTTTGTTGGCGCTGCGTTAGCGTCGACTGCGACTGCAAAAATTCCATTTCAATTGTTTGCTTAGATTATGCAGTTGTATTAAGAGTGGGATGGCATACAAAAAACGAGAAGAAATGGGGGATATGAGCACTACACAGAGTCAACGGTTGCCAAGGCGAATTGCAAGGAAGGCGAAAAAATATCCGAAAGGTGGGCGAAATCCTTTAAAAAGCTGCGAACAAGAGGAAAACGAGTGAGTTTACAAGGAGCCTGGGAGTTGAGACGACTCAACAATGCCATTTGCAACGCATTGCCATGTTGCATGAATTCCATTTACGGACTGGAAAGTGGAGAGTGGCGACCGGCGACTGGCGACCGGAGACCGGAGACCTGCAACCTCGACCAGGTGGTCCAGGTGAAGCAGCGCCATCACAAACACTATCAGGATGTGCAGCACCTGCGGGAGGCAGTCGCTTTAAGTTTTCGTGGGGACAGGTAAGAATTTAATTTCGCTAAGATGATTAATGCGGTCTCAAGAGTTCGCGATTAATTCCTGACATCTAAGAAGAGAAAGATTTCAGGGTATACCGACTTTATTAAAAAGCTTGACATCTTCCATCATTATATATTTTTTTAATTGTGGTTTTTATTTCCATTTAAAGATATGTATCTTAATATGCCATTCACCATCTTCCAGAGAGAAATCCTTATCCTTATACGACAGAGGTTTTTGTACAAGGGGAAATTCGATCAAAGATTCCTTGTCAGGGTGTTGACAACCTGCATACAATTTACATTCGGCAGCCTCAGATTTCGGGTGCCTCGCATGCGTTCTTAAATGGTTTTGCCTCGGTTCGAGTTTTTCAGTCCGGTGACAGGAAGCCGAAACCTCGGCCGTTATCCTTCAACTTGCCGCTGTCAATCCTGGTCGCCTGGCTTTTGACTCCGCTCTTTATCCACTCCCAGCAATTATGTTGCACATTCTGGTTGCTGAGCTCTGCATTCTGGTCTCTGAAACTTCAACTGCCGCATCACTTGCCACTGTCATTCACAACATTGTCGGCTGCCCGGCACTATTAGCATTTTAATTAAATTTTCTGCTGTCGCCTGTTGTCCAAGTGCCTCCTCGCTTTCTGCATATACCCACCCAACCATTCTCCCACTTCCACATTTATCCACCGCCCTTATGTTAAACTCACCCACAACCGTCATGGTCTCCGATTCGGATACGGTGTTGAATGCGGGCGCCTCGCCGGACACCTCGCACCGATACACTCCGGAACTCTGAAGCGTTACGCGGCGCAGGAGGATCTGGGTGTCCGAGGAGTTACGCAGCTGTGGGGGAAAGAAAGGGGAGATTATCATACATTTTCCTGGATTTTTATATAATTACTTAACTTTTCTTAAAAATTAAACTCAAACAAGCAAATTTGGTTTTCTCAAATTTATTTTCAAAATAAAAAATTATATTTATAAATTCCCTTCTTTTCGCTACCTCAAAAAAGTGAAACGAAATCAAGAATTTTAATATATTTCCCTCATTTTGTCAGTCAAGAAACCAAGCGAGATAAATTGCGTGGCAATGAATCGACACAAAATCAAACGCAATTAGAGTTGAAGATTTGGCCATGGATGATTTTTACATTCACAAATTCAACGCCAAATGAAGATTGATGATGGGGGAAGGCAGTTCATTATTAGTTTAGCCACACTGTAGGCGAAAAGTGTAATTTTGTCAAGAGCCGCAACGGGAAGCCAAGAAAAGGAAAGCCAAAGCCATAAACCAAAAAGTCGGAAGAGCCAGGACCGAAAAACCAAACAAGCAAATGAAAATGAAATATCTAGAAACAATCGCACAAGAGTCTGAATAAAAGATGGAAGATACGCATGTGAGGGCGGAATGTTGTAAAAGTCACTCGCTCAGTTTTTCCTCTTTCATTTTCCCTGGGCAACAATTGCAGTCAAGTCAAGTTCTTTAAGTTGCACTTTTATTATCGCACACACACTCACACCCACACATACACCAATACATGCACACACATGCGGTAAGAAAGTTTCATTTGATTCGAGCAAATTTTTATGAAAATTCTTTGCTCTCGCTTTGTACTTTCTGTACTCTGGCCACATTTCACCCACTCCCTTTCTCTGGCGTAAACAATCACAAAAGTCACGTTCAACATTATTTTTGGTTTGTTGCTTGTTTTCGGCTGCCGGCCCCCTTAACCCTCGGCTGCCCCCTTGGTCCTTTACAATGACTGTGGACTGGCTTTTGTTTGTTGCCTTCTTGGCAGTACTTAAGCCGATTCTTCTTCCCATTCTGCAGCTGCGTCTTCGTCTCTTTGCCAATTCTTTCGGCACGCTCAAGTTGTCAGCACCCCCTTACAAAAAATGTTGCTGCGGGGATCGGTTTTATGGGGCTGTGCAGGGGGTTGGCACTGCTCGCCAAAAAACCAAATCTAACCGCAATTCAAATTGCAGTCTCCCTTTATTGCTTTCTCGTCGCCGCCAAAATCCCCCTGCTGCCCAGAACAAGCTCGGCTATTTCGCTCATGACTGCAGATTGAAGTTGTTATTTGTAATTCCAAATTCGGTTTGGCTAAAAAGAATCAGCGCTGTAACCCTGTTTATATTGCTCTGATTGCAGTGGCCAACAAATAAAAGGGGCCGCTCTGCGAGTGGGAAAACGTATTTAAAATGAAAAAGGCTATTAGCAGTAAAGAAATTTTTCTCTTAATTGAGGTTAGGCCCTCTAAAAAAATTATTTATTTTTTCAATCTCGGTAAATCATTATTTGCTGCGTTAAGGAAACGGTCACCTACCAAAATTACTCAATGAAACAACATTCTATCCTTGCTCAATGCCACCTGAAAAGCTTTTGTAAAAATATTCCCACTTTATCATGCTTTTCACAGCCACACCACACTCATTCACATCCGTAACCCCCGAAGAATTCGTCTTTTGTTCTAATCATTTCCCACCACTCAGCTCGGCCTTCAACCCTTTTCCTAGAGGGCGGCGACCAAATGCAGACATTGAAACCAAACGAAAATTATGCCGCATTACGCATTATGCTTTCACTCGAGGCGTCTCCTTTAGCCAGGGTTTTCCTTGCTTTCTTTGCCTACTTCCTTGGGCTTTCCTGCGTTTGCCCTTTCCAGACGCTTGGCCACACGCACACAGGCCATAAAACACGCTGGCACATTGCTCATACGCCACGTTAGCCTCGACAATTGACGGGATTTACTTTGCTTAGCACGAAGAGAAAATTATGTTTCCTCATAAAATTCACTTGTACTTCAATAATTATTCTTTATCTATATTATCTTAAAAATAAAATAGATGTTATAATTTGTTTGAAAAAATAGAAAATAATTGTTTATCTTTTGTTTTTTTTTTGTGTACTTGTTCTTAAATTTTTTTTTTTTTAATTTTTTTTAAGTTATTATTCTTTTTATTTGATTTTCTTTTATCTTTGGAAACGCAATTTTTTACAGTGCATTGCCTGTTATTCTTAGCCTTGCTTAACTTTGACTGCCCGTCTTACAAAGTAGACGCACTTAAGTGCTTTTCGCAAATTATTATTATTAGAGCCAAAGAAAAGAGGGCCAGCGAAGGGATATCAACTTTGTCTGGGATATTGACAGCTTTAAGTGATTTCCGTTAACCTTTTCGATCGTAAGAAAAGCAGACCAACACGTGACCTTAGCTAAAGCAGAGGGAAACCAAAACGGACGGTTAGCTGGGCGGGAAAAACAACCCACACAGACACACATTTTTATGGGCAACAAAGGAAGGTTACATCCACATTAAATTAAAGTTAAATGGCAAAACTACGTGGCAGCAATTTTCATTCCAGCGACGACGTAATCAGCAACAAGCACTGTTAAAGGAGGGGGAGTGAAAGCGGGCGGAAAAGTGGGGGAAAAGTACTAAGGGCTTCCCTCACCATTGTGGCAATTACATGTTTTAAAATAATCATTATGATCGGGTCGTAACACTAAATCCAAAGCAACATCTCCCACCATTCCTGAAAGCAGCCACATAAATTCTAATAAAATTTTAAATTAAATTTTTCCGCTTATTGTTGCTTTTTATTTTGTTTAAACTAAGCTATACCTGTTGCTTTTTCCAATAACCACTGAGGGAAATAATTTAATAGAAAAAACTTAGTTTTAATAGAAGCAAAGAAAAAGTTTTAATTTAATTAGTTTTATTTGCATACATAACCAATCAAATGAAAAGCCCTGCTTTTAGTTTTTTTTTCCTTTTTATTTCCATTCAAAATATTTGTTTAATAACCTGTTACGGTGCACTTACATCGATGTTGACTCCCGGGAGGGGAAAGGACTGTCCGGGGGGCTTATCGCGTGGCACGTAGCGGTAGATCTCGTGCCCGTCCTTATACCACTTCACCGAGTACAGCGACTCTCCATCGAGGGCGTAACGACAGCCCAGAGTGGCGCTCTTCAGGCGCATTATGTGATTGGGTATCTTCACCTCGGTCATTGTCAGCGAGCTGCTAATGTCTGCAATTAGCGTGCAAAAAGAAATAGAAAAGAACGTTAGTGTGGCGGAATTAGTTTTAATGAAATCCCCAACCGTAATGCAACTCCCATTGCAACTGCGCCAAAGTTATCCCCTTAATTCTTATGCCCTAGCCCACATTCATATTTCAGTTGTTATGATTCCAACTGGCCATATTTTCCCACCAAAATGGCCAGAAAGCAAACACAAAAAACCTTTTCGGCCCTGTCACATGAATTTTGACTTGTCCTGCTGGAAGCCGGCTCTTAGATCCCGGGAAATCCAGTGCACGTCACTGCAGTCCACAATTCACATGTAAGGCGAAACAAAAATACATGTGCAAAAACTCAAAGTTTTGCAGAAATAAGGAGGGACCATGACGGTGAACTAAAAATACCCTAGAAATTAAATTATGATATGTTGAATTTTTGTTTCGTTTAAAACAAAGTCTCAAGAAGCTGATAAGAAATATAGTAAGAATAGTTATAATAATAATAATAATTATAAAAATAATAATAATGATGATAATATTAAAAATAATAATAAAAGTAATAAAAATAATAAGAATAATAAGAATAATAATAATAAAATGGCTGATACGAAATATTTTTTTTGTAAGGGGCCAGATTCGTCTGCAATCATAGATTACCATTAAATAAACAAAACATTTTAAAATACAAATTAATCTATAAATATTTCATGTATTTTTAACAAAAGAAACCAAAAATAGACAATTCCTGAAAGGAAATCAAAAACACACTGCGCCCAAAAGCATTTAAATCACAGACAGCAAAACCTGGCACATATCCCCATATTTGCCTACCGCGACATTTTGGCGGGTTTTCGGCCAGTCCCCGGAGGACTAACGGTAACCGTAACAGTGGCCAGGACAGTAACCGTTATATTTGCACTGCTGTGTGGGTGGGGGTTACACCCACTTATTTAATATACCGCTACACTTTTCATTTTTCCAAACGTCAAACGTGAAAAAGTAAGTTCGTTTTGTGGGAAAGCGGCAAAAAACAAATACTCACGCACACTCACACAGATACTCTCACACTTATGCCGTCTCAGACGCATATGCATATGTGTGTGTGTGTGTGTCTGTGTCTGTGTTTGTGTGTGTGTGGTGTAACGTGCAGCGCCGCCATTGAATTTATCACATTCACATGCAAATTGCGCCAAACGACCTTATTATGCAAATTGCCAACTGCAAATGGAGAACGAAATTGATTTTCCTGCATTTGCTGCTCCAGCAACAACACGAATAAGGAAGCGGAGGGAAAGTAAAAGGAAGGGTCTCATGCACAAGGAACTAGAGGTACAGTGGTTACCTGATAAGGAAAATGAATTACTACACGGAAATGTGTAACTTACACGTTCAGTTAAATTGGCGAACTTAAGAGAGCTGTGAATGCGAATTTAAGCATGAAAATTGCCGGGTTTTAATAAGTGAAACCAGTGACTACACATCTAAATTGGCCAAACTAGAACGATTTTAAGGGACCAAATCAGCGAAGCTAAGATTTCTGAATAAATATACAAATGAATTCTAATGTTTTGTGTTTTTTATTTCAAACCAAGGTATTATTAGAATCTTCTGTGGAAAGCATCGTTCAACAGTTTTGCGGCACTCCGAAAGCCACGTTTATATGACAACTAGCGGTAGAGGAATCGCCGGATAGAAAGACAGAGAACCTCACCTTAAGTGGGAAAAAGGAGGGGAGAGTGTGCGGTTTATACAGCGACAAATGGCGAATATATTGAGCTGTCACACGCCCAACTCAAAAACCCAAGCCGGAGGTCATGCACACAAACACAGTGCGATCTGTAATATTGAACGATTTGCAGCCAAATAGAGCACTCAAAAAAACTTTATTCACCCGAACAAAAGATGAAATCAAAAATATTTGAGTATTCATACAAATTATTTAGAATGATTTCTTATTTAGAAACAGTAAGTTCATTCGCTGGATCCAAGTTATTTGGCTTTGAACAATTTTTAAAGTGACAGTTTACAGGAAATATGGTTTTATTATATGTTTTAAGATGCTAAGACTTAACTTTTGAAAATCCAACCGACTTTTTCATGTGCATACAGCAGGGTCAGAAAGAAGCTGAAGCGTAAAGAAGAAAAGGGAAAAGCGGATTCCCAATCGGAATCAAAATCGCAGTCGCGCCTTCAATAAAAAATACGTTGAATTCTTTCAGAGTGTTTGCTTGCACGTGTGTGAGTGCTGTTTCTAACTTGCGTATGTGTGTGTGTCGGTGGCAGACAATTGGCATAAAAAAGAAGAGGAGACAGCAATGGCAGCCGCAAAATGAGTTAGTTGTTTGCCTTTTTGCTGTTTCACAAACACACACAAAAGCATGTATGCAGTCCGCTTTTTTCGGCCCGGAATATTTTATAGTCCCAAATACGAATCAGCAACAACAACAACAAACATCATGCATTATAAATTCATTTCCGTGACGGCATATTTTTGTTAGCCCAACAGAAGAAAAAGGCAAATAAATGGAGTAGATGGTGCCATAAAATGTGCTAATAAGCAAAGGATTTGTGGCAGTGTACCATGAGGGCAAGAAGCCTGTCGTATAAATTTTAGTGTTTCTGAATAATAAAACAACGGAACTTTTGGTATAGAATGATTGAATTTTTTTAACCGTAAGTTTTTAAATTTATGTTATAACTGTTCTCTTTTTTTTATTTTTTTAAAGTCATGAAAAATAATAATTGGTATCTTTCTCTTTTTTTCGTTAGCGGCTTTTAAAAAACTTTAATTAAAAAACTTCAATGAATACGAAATGCAATGTATGTATGATCCTTGTAATTTAAAGCCACCTTTCCAAAGTTCTGTTAAGGGGATACGCCCTGCGTTTTTAGCGCCTTAATTGCAGTTGACTGGCATTTGACTTTGCAAATTGGCCTGGGACATTCCCTTCTTCTCTCTCACTCCTTTATATTCTTTCTCTCTTTTTCTCGTTGGCAGTGCAAGAGTGACTGCGTAAATGGTGTGTGTCCTTTTTCTACTGCAGACTACAGAAACAACAACTGACTGCACATTAAAAATTAAAAAAGCCAACAAAACGTCGAGGGAACTTGAGACGTAGAGAAATGTCAGTGGCCTGACATTGGTTTTTATTAAAAGGGTTTACAAAAATATATAAATAGTAAATATGTGGTTATCTTTAAAATTTTATTTACTATGTAGAATAAAATTAACACGAACTTCATCACACAGTGATCATTGTAAAGATTTTAGATTCTAAACTTTAATTTAAGGTTTCTTTGGTTAAAATCCCCTTTTTACGCCACTGCACGTGGAAAAAGGAAGAAAGGACCCATCCCCCAGAAAGTCAAAAGCCAAAAGCTGAAGTCAAAGTCCAAAAAGAAGGAGAGAACGGGTAGGAAAAATAAGGGGAGTCGCTGCAAAAGAACTTTGCCTACAACAACGAACAGCAGCTTGGAAAAAGTTAAAAAAAAAAAAGGCAAAGTAATTTCATGCATCGTTTAATTTTCATTCGGGTTTAATTTGTGCAACGCCCCCACAACATAACCCCTCTTTTCAGGGTTCCAGATCCGCCATTCTCACCATATCACCATAAAGAGTTCCTTGATGGTATTTCTTCCCCTTTTTGCAGGAATGTTTGCAATTCGCCATTTAGACCTAATACTCAACAGCCACTTCCAGCTCAACTGACAATTGAAAAAACAAATAAACGGAGGGTAAAAGGGGTAAGACAAATGTTAAGAACACAGAAATACAGGCGACTTCCGAATTGATACACTCGCACGAAGCTGAAATTGACACCAAACAAGTTTCAAGACAAATAAAATTAAATGAAGCGAAGAATTGTGTTTCTTTTCTAACCTTTTTTTAACGTTTAAGAATTAAAATCAGTATAAAACTGAACGTATTTTAACAATTGTTTGTATTTCAATTTTGGATTCGCTATACGACACTTTATAACTTCGTAAGAATGTCCCAGCTAGACGATTTTTAATATTAAAATATATATTAACGTTTACTTTTTTGAAGAAAAATAATACCTTCATTTATCATACACCGCCAAACTTCTTGTAACTCATTGGGTTGTCATTTCCACACGTCCAAAATAGGCGACTTGTCCGCAGACAAAAATTGTTTCAACTTTAATGAAGTCAATTTTGGAAGTTCTTCTCACCCCTCTACAATTTTCTCTACCCATTCCGCTAAAAATGCTTTACCCCCTTTTTGTAATTGAAATTTTTATAGTTGTCGCACAGTTTGCTATCTCTAGGAAAAGAAAATGAGAGGGACAGGGTGAAAACTCGACCGAGACAAACTTTTATCAGAGCCTGGCGCATTCTTTAAAACAATTTCCACAGTCTACAAACCCCACCCACACATCCCCACCCATTCTCTCAAGGGCCGCAACAAATTAATCCCTTTATTTGCATAATTGAAAAACATCAACTGAAGCAGTCAAAAAATATCAAGAACTCCAAGTCGAATAGCCTGCGGGCAAAAGTCCTGGGAGAGTCGAAAGAAAAGGATACACTTCGGTAAATGAAATTGAAAATGGAAGATGTGTACCTTTGTGAATAAAATTATTGAGAGATAATATAAAAGCCTCTGGAAAAAAAAAGTTGAAGTTTAGTTAAGATTCAATGTTATTTAAAAAGGAATGTCAATACATTTTTCTGAGATTAACGTTGACTTTGATTTTTTTGAGTGCTCAGGCCCAAACTGTCGCCACATTTTTATGTTGTAGGCGGCATCGCTGCCCTGGGGAGCTATTTAAAATTTTTCCAACACTTTGATAATCGCACTTTGCGGGCAGATTAATTATTTACGAGCGGCGCGTCCTCTTCTACCTGAGTTCACTCGCATCGTTTAACCCGCCGACAGACGGAAGACAACCGACAGCCGACGACAAAAGCCCAGAAGTTGCTGGTAAATCTTGGTAATGCCTAAAGCCCCGTTCCACCCTCAAATCCCGAACCTCGAACGCCAGACCA